ATACAAGTGGGGATAAGAGCTTTGTGTGAACTTCAGCTGCACTTGCAGCTGTGCCTGCGTTTGGTGTCTCAGTGTTGAAAAGTGCTCTGTTTTGTTAGGTTCCGCTAGGATGTAGCTGCTTTATACATACACAGTGAAGGAGGGCAGGAAGGCAGGAACTGAATTTAGTTGAGAGGGCAGTGGTCTTCAGAGCATGGCTTCAGGCAGCCTTGTGAAACCAGATTCCCTAGAACCAGACAAGAGTCACGAGAGAAAGTTAACAGATTCATTAACATCTTATTTATATGAGTAATTTACACTGTCCATTTTAGCTGTTGAGACTTTATCCATAGTCCTAGGAAATGGAAAAGAGAGGAAACACAGTCACGATATCTACAGCACGTAACTCTGCAGCTTGTGAGTTACAAAAGTAATCGGTGTGGGCTGGCGCCTCGGCTCACTAGGCTAATCCTCTGCCTGTGGCGCCAGCACTCCAGTTTCTAGTCCCGGATGGGGCGTTAGTTCTGTCCCGGTTGCTCCTCTTCCAGTCCAGCTCTCTGCTGTGGCCCTGGAAGGCAGTGGAGTATGGCCCAAGTGCTTGGGCCCTGCACCTGCATGGGAGACCAGGAGGAAGCACCTGGCTCCTGGCTTCGGATCAGCATAGCGCATCGGCTGTAGCAGCCATTTAGGGGGTGAACCAACGGAAGGAAGACCTTTCTCTCTCTCTCTCATTGTCTAGCTCTGCCTGTCGGAGAAAAAAACAAACAAAAAAAATTAATAGGCCGGCTCCGCGGCTCACTAGGCTAATCCTCCGCCTTGCGGCGCCGACACACCAGGTTCTAGTCCTGGTCGGGGCACTGGATTCTGTCCCGGTTGCCCCTCTTCCAGGCCAGCTCTCTGCTATGGCCAGGGAGTGCAGTGGAGGATGGCCCAAGTGCTTGGGCCCTGCACCCCATGGGAGACCAGGATAAGTACCTGGCTCCTGCCATCGGATCAGCTTGGTTCGCCAGCCGCAGAACGCCAGCCGCAGCGGCATTGGAGGGTGAACCAACAGAAAAGGAAGACCTTTCTCTCTGTCTCTCTCTCTCTCACTGTCCACTCTGCCTGTCAAAAAAAAAAAAAAAAATTAATAGGTATGATGTTTAAAAATGCACATAACAATAAGATTTAAAAATTTAGAGATAATTACTGTTGTCTTCTAGATTATTTTCTGTGTGTGCAATTGCACATGATCAAAGTTTTATTTATCCTTGGGGTTACATTATTAAGGTTTTTGTTGCAGCTTGCCCTTTTTCCTTCCCCATTGAGTATATCTCATGAAACTGAACCTCAAAAATATTATAAAGGCTATCCCTATTCCACACATAAATTCCGTTTTCTAGGACAGATTTCCAGATGTCGATTCACTGGATCAGTGCTTAAGCACATTTAAAAAATGCCCAATACTGGTAAATTTTTCTCAGAAATTCCTGGTTCATACACTTTGTGATTGCCACAAAAGCTAATGCAATCTTCAACTGGATTCAGTAAAAATCAGGCCCGTAGAATGAGATTCCTTTGCAAGAGGAAGCCAGCTCGAGACCTGAAGCTCTGCCCCCTTTGCCCTGAAGCAGAACTGGCCCTCTGGAAGCTAACTACTAGTTTGTACTGGTCATTGCTTTCCCCTTAATCCAGAGGATCTGCTCTTCCCACATGGGAGCTTTAAGCCTTACATTTGATTCTCTTTAAGGTGTGTTTAATCACTTACCCTTTTTAATTCTTCTAATTACTTTCTTTTAATTACTTTCCATTTTTTAAAAAGAAAGATTAAACTCAAAATAAAAAGGACACATAAGGTTGGGGAAATTTTTCTTCCCAGCTGGCTTTCCTATCCTTTTCGTAATAGATTTTTCTTTTTCTTAACCAATGTTAATGTCTTAATACTAGAATGGTCCTCCAAAAAAAAGACTAGTTTGGTTTAAAAAATAAAAAAGAATAAAGAGAAAACTACTGAGCTAGGTAATGCCAAGATCAAAAATTCCCTGAGACACATAAAAATCTCGCTCTAATAGCAGTTCAGTTTCTGTATAAAGCAGATCTTGACCCAAATTCTGCAGATCTTGTATAGCTGAAGGACTTCAGCCAAGCTGCCCAGAATAATAGTGACTCAACAGGAACATAGGTGAGAGATCCTTGGCAGCCTCTGAAGTGTAACCTCAGTGATTTATTACAGTGTCCTTAGTTTCCTAGAAAGAGTGGTTAGAAGAAAGTACGAGAAGATCCAGCTTGAGGATCTGTAGTGAAACTCTTTAGATCCCCCTTTTCATCATTTTGCCTCTTAAACATCACCTCATTTATTAGTCTTCCTGCAGAATGGAGGATTCTCTTGCTATTTACATCTTAACACTGCCTTCTCATCCATACAGGAAGCTGAACTAGACCGGGCTATACCCTCTTTAGATCACTCTCTTTTTAGGACTGCAGAAGAACCATCTTTCTCCCTGGTCATCCCTGTTTGTAACCCACAGCCTCTCACAAATTTGTTTCAGAAGATTGCCTTCTCCTCAAGAAGCTACTGGGTACATCTGCAATAATTGTTCCTTCCATGTATCTCCCTCCTCACCTGCTAATGTCTGTTTGCCCACTCCAGTTCATCTCTGGTATTGCCCAGTTGCTACTTCTGATAACCAATGATTCTGCTCAATTCCCTAGGGATTTCACCCCAGGCAGCACTCTGCCAAGACTCCCAGTTCTTAGAATAATTCTCAACCTTGTTTGATCTAGGTATTTTTAGTTGTGCATTTATCTTTGCTTGAAAAGCAGGGAGAGAGAAAATCTTCCATCTGTCGCTGTACTTGCCACATGCCTTCAGCAGCCAGGGCTGGGCTAGGTTAAAGCTAGAAGCCAGTAACTCCATGTAGATCTCCCATATAGGTGGCCGAGAACCACATATTTGAGCCGTTGCTACTACCTCCCAGAAAGTATATTAGCAGGAAATTGGATCACAAGTGGAGTAAGCCAGGACTTCAGCCAATACTCTGGTACCTAAAGCAGACATCCCAAGCAGTGAGTTAATCCTCTGCAACACAGTGCCTGCCTCCCTTCCACCTAGTTATTGCTAATAGTAGTATATAGTATTTGTCCACAGAACTGGCTGATCCCACATCGCCCTAACCATATATTTTATTTGTTTGTTTGTTTGTTTATTTATTTACTATTTGAAAGAGAGAGGTAGAGTCAGAGGGAAAGAGATCTTTCTTCTTCTGGTTCACTCCCCAAGTAGCTGCAATGGCTGGAGCTGAGCCTGTCAGGAGCCAAGAGCCTGGAGTTTCTTCCAGGTCTCCCAGATGGGTGCAGGAGCACAAGGACTTGGGTCTGCATTAGTAGGGAGCTGGATTGGCAGTGAAGCAGCCAGGACTCCCAACTGGTGCCCATATGGGATGCCGGCACTGCAGGCCAGGGCATTAACACGCTATGCCACAGCCCCGGCCCCTCCCCTAACCTTTTGAATGTCTCAAAATATTGCTTTTCAACAGATTTAAAATGTAAGCTGTAAATGTAATAAGAATTATTATAATAACCACATATAAATATTTTAAAAATAGATGAATTGTAGCCGGCGCCGCGGCTCACTTGGTTAATCCTCCACCTGCGGCGCCAGCACCCCAGGTTCTAGTCCTGGTTGGGGCACCGGATTCTGTCCCAGTTGCTCCTCTTCCAGTCTAGCTCTCTGCTGTGGCCCCGGAAGGCAGTGGAGGATGGCCCAAGTGCTTAGGCCCTGCACCCGCATGGGAGACCAAGAGGAAGCACCTGGTTCCTGGCTTCAGATTGGCACAGCATACCGGCCATAGTGGCCATCTTGGGGGTGAACCAACAGAAAAGGAAGACCTTTCTCTCTGTCTCTCTCTCACTGTCTAACTCTGCCTGTCCAAAAAAAAAAAAAAAAAAAAAAGAAAAGAAAAGAATTGTAATTAAATATATAAAAATTTCTGCATGTAATAAATATGAAAATTATTTCATACCGTGTCTTCAGAATTTAGTGTGTTTTACTCTGACTATAGATTCATTTCTTGGTCACCTTTCAAATGCTTAATAACTGTGTGTAACTTGTGACTTTTGTATTGGACAGCACAGCACTAGAAAATGACATGTAGGGACTGAAAGTGGTGGGAGGGGGATATCATTGTAAAGAAAGGAGTCATAACCTCCTTGTGCTTCTGATCATCTGTTTACTTTCAAAAATCTGTATTTTTTATTGTGCTTCATGTTCAGGTTGATTATTCACCTGAATTACATCATTGTAGGGTAGGCTCCATTCACTGTACTGTTGTCATGCATACGGTTTCTGAATTTCCTGCACATGTGACAACCTATTTATTTATCTTTAATTTGAATTCCAGAAAGATTATCCTGAATATTGAAGTGTTTATATTCCTTAAAACAAAGATTCATGCAGAGTTTTACTTAAGCGGCCAAAATATTCTGTGAATGTATCACCCCGTATAATTTTGGGCACTTGAAAGCTAAAATTTGCAGAAGCTTTGCCAAAGTTCTATGTGGAAAAATGTGTCTCTTTGCAATTAAGGCCATGTTGACTCATCCAGAGGGTTTACTCTGATATTTAATTCCAAAATAGATAATAGCCAAAAGGACCACATCTAGAAGAGAATGCCTGGGAAGCTTAGGTGGACATGAAAAGTTCACGTGTGTGGAGCTATAAAAATGACAGAAGAGGTTGTTTCAGCCTAGGAAAAACAGGCAATCATGGAAAGTACTTTTAGTATTTGGGGGACTTCCAGACAGATTATGTGTCCTGAGTGAGCCCAAAGATCAGCGTGAAGGAAAGGTAGGTCTTAAACTCAACATAGAGAAATCCTGTGGTCTAATGGAAATACGCTGCTCAAGAAATAATGCCTCTTCTGTCTCTGGGGATATTGCAGGAGGTGAGGTGGGCACTCAGGCATTCCCTGGATTTCTTGTGTATCACCCACTTCTGAGAGCCTCTCTGGATGACATTTATCTTCCCTTTTTCTGTCTTCCAGCTAGAACAGCAGAGGCAGCAGTTGCTTACTGAGCGCCAGAACTTCCACATGGAACAGCTGAAATATGCTGAATTACGAGCTCGGCAGCAAATGGAGCAGCAGCAGCATGGCCAGACCCCTCAGCAGGCACACCAGCACTCAGGAGCGCCTGGCCTGGCCCCACTGGGCACAGCAGGGCACCCCGGCATGATGCCTCATCAGCAGCCCCCGCCCTATCCTCTGATGCACCACCAGATGCCACCACCTCATCCACCCCAACCAGGTGAGAAGAAAACTCCAGTCACAGGATCCTCCCTGTAATGGAGCTTCAGAGAAGCTAACTGTGCCAGTTTTGTTTTCTGACGAGGCCTGGTGAAAATTTCCTCCGTCATCTAAGAAGCTGTCAGCCTTTGAGATGTGGTTTTATCACCATACCAAGCCTGTCATTTTCTCTTTCCACAGTGCTTTTTCCTTGGGTAGATCTGCTTCTGAATGGGCAGCATGTCTGAGTTATCTTAAAAATTTATCATTGGACTGTGTACGCATTTTTTAAATTTATAGGACTGCACTGAGGCCGGCACGATAACATAGTGGATAAAGCCATCGCCTGCAGTGCTAGCATCCTGTATGGGTGCTGGTTGGAGTCCCGGCTGCTCCACTTGCAACGTAGCTCTCTACTATAGCCTGGGAAGGCAGTGGAGGATGGCCCTAGTCCTTGGGCCCCTGCACCCACATTGGAGACCTAGATTAGGCTCCTGGCTTCGAATCAGCACAGCTCTGGCTGTTGCAGCCATTTAGGGAGTGAACCAGCATAAGACTTCTCTCCCTCCCTCCCTCTCTCTCTCTCTCTCTGCCCCCCTCCCTGCCCCTGCCCAGAAGAGGTTCCTGGGGAGTGAACTAGCGGATAGAGGACCTCCCTTTCTCTATCTGCCTCTCCTTCTCTCTGTGTAACTCTGACTTTCAAGTAAATAAATAAATCCTTTAAAAAAAAAAAAAAAAAAAAAAAAAAGAACTGGCATTGTGGCACAGCGGGTGAAGCTGCTACCTGCAGTGCAGGTATTCCATTTGTGTGCTGGTTCAATTCCTATCTGTTACAGTTCTGATTCCTGCTAATGTGCCTGGGGAAGCACTTGGGCCCTGCTACCTACCTGAGATACCCAGACGAGAGTCCAGGTTCCTGCCTTCAGCTTACCCTTTTGAGCCACTTGGAAAGTAAACTAGCACATGGAAGGTCTGCGTATGTATGCACAGTTCTGCCTTTCAAATAAAATAAATATCTTAAAGGAGAGGGAAGCGGGTATTTCACCTAGTAGTTAAGATCCCTGAGTCCCACATTGGAATACCTGGATTTGGTTTCTTGGTCCAACATCTGACTTCAGCTTTTTGCCTGTGCAGACCTTGGGAGTCAGCAGTGATGGCTCAAGAAATTAGATCCTTCCACCCATGTGGAAGACCTGAATAGTCACCCTCTCTCCTGACTTTTGCCCTGGCCATTATGATGATTATGATCTTTGGGGAGTGTACCAGAATATGGAAGCTCTTTCTGTCTCTACCTCTCAAGTAAATATATATATATATATATATATATATATAAATTCTTCTTTTTCCTTTTTTTTAACATTTTTTGTTTGAAAATCACGGTTACAAGCAGAGAGGGAAGGACAGAGGTAGTCCATCCACTGGTTCACACCCCACATAGCCACAATGGCTTGGGAACTCCACTCAGGTCTCCCATGTGGGTGGCAGGGGCCCAAGCACTTGGGCCATCTTCTGCTGCTTTCTCAGTAGGGAGCTTTCTCAGTAGGGAACTACATCAGAAGTAGAGCAGCCAGGACTTGAACCAGTGCTTATAGGATGCCTGCTTCACAGGTCGTGGCTTAACCCACCATACCACAATACCAGTCCCTCAAATCATTTTTTAAAAATTAAAGTTGAAATAAAATTAAACTATAGATGTTTTCAAACATACATATTCACAAAAAGAATACTACAGTAAAGTCTCTTGACCTTAATTCAATAACCGTCACCTTTCTGCCATTTCTGACTTTTTGTTAGAGATCTTCCACTTAAAGACAAGTAGAGAACGTAGTATAATAATCTTCCATATAACTATTGTACAGCTTCACAATTATCAACATTTTTGAAAATGTGTTTTTATGTATTCTTCCTCATTTTTGGGAGGGAAATACACTTCAGATGTACCCCCCCCCCTTTTTAAGATGTTTTTATTTATTTGAATGAATTACACTGAGAGAGAAGAAGAGGCAGAGAGAAAGAGAGGGCTTCCATCCACTGGTTCACTCCCTAGATGGCCACAACAGACAGAGCTTCACCAATCCGAAGCCAGGCGCTTCTTCTGGGTCTCCCATGCAGGTGCAGGGGCCTAAGCACTTGGGCCATCTTCTGCTGCTTTCCCAGGCCATAGCAGAGAGCTGGGTCAGACATGGAGCAGCGGTACCCATAGGGGATGTTGACACTACAGACAGTGGTTTTACTCATTATGCCACAGCACCGGCCCCCAGATGTATCTTTGAGCAATAGGAATCTTACTTTTCAACTTAACTATCCACTACACTAAATGAAAGTAACCATAATTCGTAATATCACTAGTTAGATGTCTTTAATTGTCTAATTTTTTTTTGAGTCAGTATGGAAACAGATCCACATGCTGCATTTGTTAATATATATGTAATATGTAGCAGTTCACCAGATAAAATATCATCTGTGTGTTGAGTAAACCAGAGTTTTCCACACTGTGGCTAATCCAGTCTAGACATGAATAATGTCAGATTTCCTTCCCACACATTTTCCATAAGCAGAGAATTGAGCTGGATATTTTAGCAGGTTCAGGTTTGCTTTTTGAGGGCAAATATTCTGGTAATGACTATTGTCCCTTTTTGTGGCATTAAAATTGATCGGTGATTCTTATGTTGTCTGATCCATCCACCACAAAAATCTCCACTAGACTCCCAGGTAGTTTTATCTCCCATTGAGACTTGTTCCTTAGATCAGTTATTTCATCATGTATTTTTTTAAATTAATTTATTTATTTGAAAGGCAGAGTTACAGAGAAATCTATCTAGTGGTGACTCCCCAGTTGGCTGCAATGGCCTGGACTGGGCCAAAACAAAGCCAGGAATGAGAAGCTTCATCCAGGTCTTACACATGGTCGCAGAAAACCAAGAACTTAGGGCATCTTCTGCTACTTTGCCAGATGCATTAGCAGGGAGCTAGATTAAAAGTGAAACAGTTGGGACTTGAACCAGTGCCCATATGGGATGCCGGCATTACAGGTGGCATCTTAACCTGCCTACGCCACAGTGCTGGCTCCCATAATGTATTTTTAAGTTTTGGGGAAATTTCTACATTTATTATTTCTTCTGCATTTATTTAAAAAAATAAAAACCCACTCTCCTTTAATCTTTAGTTATTCTGAAGCTCAGAGTAACTGAGCAGAGTTAGACAGTGAGACAGAGACAGAGAGAAAGGTCTTCCTTCTGTTGGTTCACCCCCTAAATGGCTGCCATGGCCAGCGCGCAGCGCCGATCAGGAGCCAGGTGCTTCCTCCTGGTCTCCCATGCGGGTGCAGGGCCCAAGCACCTGGGCCATCCTCCACTGCACTCCCAGGCCACAGCAGAGAGCTGGACTGGAAGAGGAGAAACCGGGACAGAATCTGGCGCCCCAACCGAGACTAGAACCCAGGGTCCCTGCACCGCAGGCAGAGGATTAGCCCAGTGAGCTGCTGCGCCAGCCTGAAGCTCAGTTCTTAAAGAAAAGGCTGGGTAGATGCTTCATCCATTCTCTGACTGGTCTCCACAGATGACCAAGGAGCAAGTGTCTGTTTTGCATGTATATTTTTAGTATTATAAAGTTAGATGTTATCTGTTTTGTGTGTTTCATCTGTTAGACATTACTGTCGTTTTGTTTTTGTTTTTGTTTTTTTAAATATTATTTATTTGAATGAGTTACACAGAGAGAGGAGAGGCAGAGAGAGAGAGGTCTTCCATCCCCTGGTTCACTCCCCAGATGACCACAACAGCCGGAGCTGTGCTGATCCGAAGCCAGGAGCTTCTTCCGGGTCTCCCGTGTAGGTGCAGAAGCCTAAGGACTTGGGTCATCTTCTACTGCTTTCCCAGGCTGTAGCAGAGAGCTGGAATGGAAGTAGAGCAGCCAGGTCTCGATCTAGCACCCATGTGGAATGCCGAACCTGCAGGCTTCAGCTTAATCCACTACACCACAACACTGGCCCCACAGATGTTACTGTATTTTTTTAAGATTTGTTTTATTTATTTGAAAGAATTACAGAGAGGTCTTACGCTGGTTCACTCCCCAGATGGCCACAACGGTCAGAGCTGTGCTGATCGAAGCCAGGAGCCAGTACCTTCTTCCTGTTTTTCCACGTGGGTCCAGGGGCCCAAGGACATGGGACATCTTCTATTCTTTTGCCAGGCCATAGCAGAGAGGTGGATCACAAGAGGAGCAGCCAGGACTCGAACCAGCACCTGTGTGGGATGGTGGCGCTTTGGGCCAGGGCTTTAATCCACTGCACCACAGTGCGAGCCCCCCATTAGTGTTTTTGATGTTTAGACTGTCCCATATGCAGCTTGTGTGACCTCTTTCAAGCTGGCTACTATTGGCCACATTGTAACCACCTTAAAGAATTGAACTCACAGTTCTTCAGGTTTTTGTTTGTGTGTTTTTCTTTTTTGTTTAGTTTTTTCCTCAAAAGTGCACATGTATCTCAGCTTCATGGCAAGTTCTTTAGCCTTGTCCTGTTCCAGCTTGGCAGTGTAAGCCATGGATTTTGGACCCAGGACATTGTCTCCCCAGCGGCAAAAGATCTCATTGTATCTGTCCTTGTAGTTGGTCTTGATGGCTTCCACCAGCTTAGCCAGAGCCTCTTTGTCTTCCAAGTTGATCTGTGTGAAGGCAGCAGTGGTGCAGGTCTTCCTGTGGACCAGGTGCCCCAGCCAGGCCTTTTCCCTTGATGATGCAGTAGGGCGCCCCCCACCCCCCAATCTTACAACACAGGTTAGGCAAGAAGACAGCCAGCTCCATGGGATCCACATCATGTGCAGTCACTGCCAGCTGAGCCTTCTTACTCTTAACCAAGGTAGAGACAGTGTTTATGCCTGCCCGGTGGACAGCGGTCTCTTGATGGGGACATCCCCTTTGCCAGCAGCTTTCTCAGCCCGAGCCGACAGCCCCTGCTTCTTCTCTTGCTTCATCTCTAGTCTGTACTTGTGGGCCAGCTTCAACAGTTGAGTGACTGTCTGGCAGTTC